TGATATCTAATAAGTATAGCAAACAAAATACATGCTAATCCCCTGTTTATGCTATAATTAATCTTTACAGTTACGTATGCTATTAGCAGCTGAAAATTAAAAGTTCTAACCGGCTTTCCGACACCGCGACTTCTGAAACTTTTAGTCCACGCTCTACTAAAGAGCGGATTATACACATGCATTCTCTAGCTTATATCGTTCCTTATTGCGGATGTAACTTATTTCCTAAGTTAATAGTCAACTTTTTATAATATCTGTTGAATCCCAGACTGCATATTATTGGGCGATTTTCATCAGTTTTACCTACATTTCTTGGGAAGAGGGGGAGATAAAATGGCAGCTAAAAGCATTTGTTAGTTGGACGTACCAAATTCTACAAAGATGCTTTGGGCACCATTATAAGGGTTTCAACGGAGCTCGAATCGTGCACCTCGCTTCTGAATGAATACGTTGTTAGGACGTTACTAAAGTATTTGTGATCAACTTTCATAATTTTATTTTAAGTATTATAACTTAAAGGAATTCTTCCTGAATTTGAAATATCCCTTACATTTTTAATGATCTAAGCAATTTTTAATAAGAAAATTTGGGTCATGTGATAAAGTATTATTTTTCTCCTTTAACTGCATTTTTATTCAATAAATTTTATGTTTGATTTTTCAATAACAACTTTTAAAATGTGTGGGACTTGCAAGAACATTGAATCTTCTTATTTTTCTCACTTCAAATGCCAACAAAGAACTGCCACTCTCAAATGCCAACAAAGATATATTTCTCAACATTGTCAAGTAATTAATTACATCAAACTAAAAATATTTAATTATTAAATCAAGATACCTGCGGATTTAATTACACAAACTGCTTACAAATAAAACTAAAAATATTAAGAAATTAAAGTAGTAGCATTTTAATATTTATATTATTTCTCCTTGTCATTTTAACAACAGTGTTTGGTCTGCAATGGAAGATCTGAATTATTATTTCAGACCTTGAAACACTGTAGCTATCTTTCTGTAGCACTTATTCCATAAATTGTCAAATTAACTTATATATTACTATCTACACTTTCTTATTTCTGTATAACTTGACGAACTAACTTATATATTAAAAAGTGAGAAGTTTAAAATGTTCAGCGTCTCGAAAAATAATTCATACTGCCTATCTAAGAAGCGTAACTGTCATTCCATGCATATTAAAAATCATAATTGTCATCATAGTTACCGAAAATCATAACAATCAAAATTCGTTACTGTATCTGAAAAGTTGTAAAGAGAGGCAGAAATCCTGTTGTATAACAGTTAATAGATGCATTCATTACAGGCTATAATGGGACATCATAACAGGCTGTTAACTATATCAAACCATTTGGGGGTAATCAGTTGCAGAGACTTCATTTTAAAAAGGCCTTATAGCAATTAGTAAAACACTATTTTGGGGAGAAAAAAAGGAAATGTTTAATTTCTGTCGTGTAAGGAACGCCTTAACGACTTCTTGGTGTTACATAAAACTAGAAGTAAATCATATTGTCGGAGAAGTAATATTGCCTTCCGTACCTGGGTGGAAATCTCATGAAACGATTAATCCAAATTCTCTTGCGAATCCAATTCAAGGGTCTAAGGGACATATCATAATCTAGGTTATGTTTTGCTCTCGTAAAATAGTCTTTCTGACATCTTTGAATAGTCGCACAAACTCAAACATTTATCTGGGCCGTATTGTTATTTAGGGTATTTTGTTTGCTTACATAAAATAAGCTGACTAAATTCGCTGAATAGTCGAACAGTCTCAAACATTTATCTGGAGATTAGAACGAGTTCTTGTGAATTCTGTAACGATGCACTTTTGTTTTCGGAAGTTGAATACTTCAGAGACGATGACTACACACCTCATTATGCAAAGTGTGGTCACAACTGCTTCCAGGCTCATCTTAGAAACCTTCAGCATCGTCCTTAACCCATTAACCGCCAAAACTACAAGGAATGCTTCTTTTCTCATGAAAATAATAACAAATATTAAATTAAGCATTTATAACATAAATTTACATTGAAAATAAAATAAATGCTCTTACCTGTGGAAAAAGCGAGTGTTGCGTTCGCGCAACGTCAGCGGAATAAGACTACGGATGTTTAATGAGTAGGATTGTATTCGTGTGATGTTTTTTTCGAGTGGAGCGCAGGATTACTTTTTAGCTGTGTAACGTTTTATAAATCTACAAATCACTTTACTTGTAATTAATTTAATATTAAAATATACATTGTATTTCTTTTACAAATGCAGTTTATTTCAATTGAAAGATTCAAGCATGAAAAGCTTGATTACAATCATGACGTAAAACTACATTACATACTTTGCATCTATAAACAGTCTGGCTTTGGTACTCTTTACAACAAAGTCTTTTGTTATCAACGGACTTTACGATAAAATGTCTACCATCTCCATGCAATGGTTTTTGAATGCTGAATTTACTAGGTCTTCCTGTTGCTGATCTATTTCTGGCTAATTCTACACTCTCAATAGGAGTTTTCAAAAGGAATAATGCATTCTCGAGTCTGAAATCTAAAAGAGACTTTATATTTCCAGTAGTAAAAAGTGGTGATATTTAGTAAGTTTAGATACGGTCTCACCTCATATAATTTATCAGTATTGTCAAATGCAAGTTCTGCTTCAAATGCTGTACTGCAAACGTGATATCGATTCTCGTACAACAGGAACAGAAATGTCCTTATCAAAAGAAGAATACATTTTTTCTTGAGGTAAAGAATGATATCCTGTAAGCAATAATATTCCAATAAATCTTCTCTTCTAGGCTTCAGACGCAACAATTTTTTTTTTTTTTTTTTTTTTTTTTTGCTTGTCTGTCTGTTTAACGAGAAGAGAGTAAATGTCTAAACCAAAAAGAAAATCGAAAACCTTTGCACTAGTTTTACCTTGTATTTTGTCTTTTATAATTTCTCTTTTAAATTTTTCTCCATGTTCTTACTGAGACATAACTAACGGTTCCTTTTCTATCCACTTCAAAATTTCAGTCTTCTGCTTTTTAAATTTTTTAGTATGACTATAACTGCTTTTAGAAGGCTGAAACTTACTTCTTACGTGAATTTCAACTTCCTCAGCAGTATCATTTGGTAAAATATCATTATCGTTATTTAAAACATTGCTATTCCTTTCTTCTTCACTAGTTTCTGCAATTTATAGGGAAACAATAACAATAGCAGTTTCATTCTGGTCATTATTAACATTATCACCATCTGTTTCTTCATCAAAAAGTGTTTGAAGGGCTTCTTCTAATGTAAGATACCTCGTTCTAGGTATTTTTAAACAACCAGAACATGAACCAGAACATAGAAAGGAATGAGTGGAAAAGGAGATCGACTACCTGTTTCCTGCTGACGTTGCGTCAGCGCAACACCTGTTTTTTCTTCCTTCCCAACACAAATATAAACATCTTACTGATGTAATGTTCTGATAAACGGTGACCTTGACTAAAAATATATCACTCATAAAGACGGCGATTCTTTGGTTAAATATTTTCAGCAAAAATACCCGGTCGAAAATTTTGCTTAAATTTTGCTTAAAGTATGAGATTAATTATTATAAACAAAATGATTGTTGAAGGCAAATATTTTTTACAAAAATAATTTTCATAATATCCCTACACAAAAACATCTTCTGGTATAAAATATCTTTGGTAGTTATATTTATATACGCATTTATTTTGACCGTTACGTCAACGCAACACCAGCGGCTAATGGGTTAACCACCTCAAAAAGCCGTATGCGAATCTAACAGAGAACGTATGGGTTGTCTTAAAAATATTACTGTAAACAATAATTTACTCCAGCCAATCTAAAACATTTCGAAGAATGTCTGCTATATACTTTGAATGTGTTGCATTTGAGCACCTTGTAGAATCCTTGCCCAATCTCATATGCACTGTAATTCAAACTGACAAAGGCCCATCACATTGTTAATAAAAATTTTGATATTCGATTGTTGATATGTACATTTATCAAATAAATTATTCGTAAAACGTAAAATACGAAACTTTTAAAATCTGATACATAAACGTAATGACTGGAATGAGATAATACAAATAAAAGTGAATTGCTATTTGTTAAATGCTTAAACTGACATCACTCACTTATACTTCTCTTACAAATAAAAATATTTAGTAATTTCCAATAATAATTGTTCTAACACAGTTACTTCTGAAAGTTGCACCCAAGTTGTTCTGGAAAAGTAAACTTTATCTTAATATTTCATTTACCAATTTCACTCCGAAGGCAAGCGGTAAGGAGTGTAATACTTCTTTCGGAGTGTAACTGAAAAGAGTAACTGGAGTGAATTGCTTTCGGAATGTAACTAGAAAGCGCGTCCGGCTGACAATCGAAGGATCCATAGCTTGAGTTCTGGCGAGGACATATCTGATTTTTTTGTTTTCTAAGCTTTGAAAAAATTCTAAAGATCCTACAAATGGCGTATGAACTAAAAGATAGTGGACGATAATTCTTCACTACCAGAATTTGGCAGTTAGTTAACCTCCTCTCGCCTTTTAAGCGAGGAGTATTTTCTCTCTCATTATGGAATGACTTCATGGGGTAAATGGAGAGCACTTCCGGTTAGCCAGGAGTTCGATTCTAGGCAAGGGCGCTGCATAATTTAATCTCCTGCTTCCAACCAAAATGCCTAATGGCCACTGTAATCTCTTAAAAAGTTTTAGTAACATCAATTTAATAAATTACACAGCTTTCGGGTAAAGACAAACAACTAAAATTCCTTGAAAAATATTTTTTAATTGGAATATTTATCTGAATGTTTTGAAATAATTTTTTTAATGAATCCAACTCAATTTCCCTGTCTAGTTTCCTTTTATAATATGCTCTAACTATTCAGTTAAAATGATATTATTGAATTACAATGCTTTACCGTACTGTGCCTTACTTATATAAAAATCTATTATTTTAACTGCATTAATGTGACTTTTCCTTTTGCTTTTACAGTATTATTAGTACAGCTCTTTCGGCTCTGATGAAAGAGGGTTTTGATGTAAAAGCCTTACGTGCATTTCGTGTTTTGAGGCCACTCAAGTTGGTCTCAGGAGTTCCAAGTGAGTGATTCATATACAGAATTTTAATTTGTTTTGCTACTGATTATGCACCTGCTTCGCAGATAAATCTTTGTTCTTAAAAGTTACATAAAGTAACATTAAGTTCACAAAAGTTACATAACTTTTGTTAACCTATCCGTTTACGCAACCAGCTGCCTAAAATAGTTACCAGAAAAAGAAGTATATGTACTGAGTTTAATGAAACCAGCTTATGTAATTTCATGGGTGTATTATTTTTATTAATAACAATTGAAAGGAATCTACGTTTATTGCTTCTAAATCGCTTAATTTGATAAATAATAGCATAATAAATTTGAAAGAAAAATTAATTATTACCTTACGCTTTGCTGAACGACAACACACTACCACTTGGAAGATAAAAATATTTTTATTCCGCCAAAGGCAACAGATTTCTTTTCAATCGTTGAGTTTGTTGATTAAATTTGACACACAAATATATTGCGATTCGCCGTTGGCAGCACACTTCCTTAATATCCTTCAGCTTTAGAATAAAATTTCAAACTTTAATACACTCTTTTGCAAAAAAAATTGAAGCACCATGAAGGAAGTGGTTGTTTTTGATGAAATTGAATATGTGTATAGCTCAAACACAGATAATAAAATGATTAAAAAATCGAAGTCATAGTACCTGTTCACGGCTCACAATCACCCATTTCAGTGTTCAAATTGTCGAGTTGTTGATCGAACTGCACCTGGCGGCAATGCGTGCTTCAATTCGTCGAGGCAAGGAGTGATAGAGGTCCTAATGTCATCCTGCGACACATTCTGCCAGGCATTCATCAGTTGTCGCTCTAGGTCTGCGATATTTTGTGGTGCCCGAATCTGGCGGCCTATCATGTCCCAGACATGCTTGATTGGTGTAAAGTCTGGTGATCTTGCTGGCCAAGGAAGAGTATCAACCGCACGGAGACAGTCCAGAGATATGCGACCGATATGTGGCCTGGCATTATCTTGTTGGAAAATGGCTCCAGGATGACGTGCCATAAAGGAGAATGCAACCGGCTGCAGGATGGTGTCAACATATCGTTGCGCTGTTAAAGATGTACGGAGGATTACTAAAGATGACCTGCTGTCATAAGAAATAGCGCCCCACACCATCACACCAGGGGTTATGGCTGTATGCCTTTGTAAAACAAAGGCTGATTGGAACCGCTGGCCCCATCCTCTCCAGGCACGAACACGGTGGTTATCTGCTTGAAGAGTGAAGCGGGATTTACCGCTGAACACTATACGATGCCAATCTGAGGGCAGCCATGATGATTGGCTACAACACCACTCCAAACGACTCCTCCGATATTGCGGGGTCAAAGGCAAACGTCTTAAAGGCTTCTGTGAACGTAACCCCGCCTCAGACAAGCGCCGTCAGATGGTGGACGGTATCACGTGAGGCATAGACGTGGCTGTAGTGCGTTGAATAGTCGATATCGTTGGGGAGGTTTGCGCCTGGCGAACAATCATCCTTTCTTGCTTCGCATTTGTGCTTCTTGGCCTTCCAGAGCCTTCATTCCATGGTCAATATCCTTGTAGCAACCATTGCTGCTATTAGGTAGCCCCCTCGCTTCTACATAACATAACATAACCATTGATGCCAACATCTTTGCAAAGCAGTATCTGCACGCTGCAGGTGGCGGCCTATTTCTTGGTATGACCACCTAGCTTCACGCAACCCTACAATGCGACCACGTTCGAAGTTGTTTAGTTGTCTGTAAGGTCTTTGATATCGTCGTAATGGCATCTTTTGTTGCTTCTTTACAGAATTACAATAGATTCAACAAAAAAAGATAAATTGTCCGCCTCTGTAACTGGTTTTATACTTTGCGAATAGCGCACTAGAAATGCGCGCTATAATCGCAATTCCTGTGCATTCGTCTTGAAACTTTGATCATTTGCTTGGGCGATCAAGATGCTTTTGTATACCAAATTTCCTCAACATCGCAAAAGTCCTTCTTGGTGCTTCAATTTTTTTTTTCAAAAGAATGTATTTTAATCGCAAACAAAACTTTTATATCACTTAATTTTTAATCAAAATTTTTTTGAATTCTGGTACGTGTGTACTTAAGCTCATGGGCAGTCGTAGCATTGTTTTGAACAAGTAAAATGGTTAAATGCGCGCAATCGTGATTCATCGAACTGGAGTCGTATTCTAAGCAAACAGATTAAACCAAACGAAGTTTTTCATATTTAAGTAGAACTTATACCCGTTTGAACGTATTTTAAATTGGACTTGTACCTAGAAACCGCTATAATATGATACTTAAAAAATATTACTTTTGTTGAAAGGACTATTTTAGTAGAATAAAGAAAAGAAAATTAAGAGTTACAAAAATTTTAATGAAAATATAAGTAAAATGATAACATATATCGCTTGCTTCCTTAAAGAAAGAAAATCAAATTCATGGAATGTATAAAGCATATCTTCGAAAACTATAAGCAAGATTATGCATTTATGATGATAGAAATTTTAAAAACAAAATTCTGAGTCTTTGTAAACGAGTTCAAGTTAAAAAGTAGTTTACCTTGTAGCGAGCTAATTGTTTAATCCTTCTACGAGATTCTCTGAATAGTCTTTTAATAGCCTTAATGAAACTCAGAAACATTATTTTCATATATTTCTGAACTTGAGCTTAAGCTTATTAGTAGTGTCAATATTCTTACTCTAAATACAAGGTTGTTTTTACGATTTTGATTATTAGTAGTGTATTTAAATATAATAAGTGCATTATATGTAAAAGTTTTGCATATATTTTATTTCTAGGCCTTCAAGTAGTTTTGAATTCCATTCTCCGCGCCATGGTTCCCTTACTTCATATTGCTCTCCTTGTCATTTTTGTCATCATCATCTATGCCATTATAGGACTGGAACTTTTTTCAGGAAAGATGCATGAAACTTGTTTTAACAACATCACAGGTATGTGAAAATGCAGTGATTGTTAAGATACAAAATCTTAAATTGTTTCATATCTTAAGAAAACATAGAAATATGATAATTATCAAAACAACAGCAGTAACTGATACCAATCAAATGCGGTTTTGAGCTATTTCTCTCGTTTTACCATCAGACTATCAAATAACTAATTTTAATGAAAATATAAGTAACTTTTGGTGTAGCTACTGAACGGCATTCTTGTATGTGTAATAGAAATCATCACAAGATGAAGCTATTTTACGCTGTAAATCAATCGAAAGTCTTTTTAGGGATTTCAGTTCTTGTGTTTTCAGTTATTGTGAGGATAGACAAGTATTTCACAGGGTAATCGGAATCTGTGCAAATTAGACAATTTGATAATGTAAATGAAGAGTAGTCATTATGGCATGTAAAAATGGACGATTAATACAATAACATAGCATTTAACCTTTGAAATGAAATACATAGCTTGTACTCGAAACGTAATGAGATTGTTTTACATGAGGCAGAAGTTTAATGAGATACATTTCTGCAAGAGAAGAGAAGAATGACCTTGTTTGTTCACGTTTGCTATACTGAAGTCACATGATCTCTGAGGCCGTCTATATTGTTTGTTCATAGTAACTATACATAAATCGCACGGACTCTGAGTTCATCGGAATGTATCTCATTTAAAAAGAAAAAAAAAGTTACACATTTTTGGAAGAGTTCCCCATTGACCTAAAAACACTCTTCTTCGTTTTTATATTTTTTTCCTGGGGCTGGGGGAAGACGTATATAGAGTCTTTCTCTGTGATCAATGATCTGTTGCAACATAATAATGTTTAAAAACTGGCGCAAACGTTTGTGGAGAATACTGTTTCCCCTCTTCAGGCTAAACTAGAAGTTAATAGCAGATAAGTCGATTGAATATTGGAAATGGGTTATCTTTCCAGTGTCTAGATATTCGGTAACTTTAGTAGAGAACAAAATTGCTTAGAATCATAACCATTTATACAAACTTCAATCAAATTTTGAAGTTTATATGCTGTGAGGGAATTTTTACCATTACAGAACCTCTCAGAAAACTTCTCGATGTTCATTCGAAGTCTTTTCTATAGGAAGATCTCAGTGGTTTTAGTGGCATTCGAATACTTTCAAACTGAACAAAGCACCTACTTTGTAAGCTATTATTTTCTGGGTTTCTGCAGCATGTTTTTTTGGGGGGGCTAAACGGGGGCATATATGAAGTTTAGAGGTTACTCTTTACTATTAAATCTCAGGTGGGTTATACTAGACACATGTCTGATATCCATACATGCTACTAAAACGAAATCATTAAGCTTTGTAATGTTGCATCATTATCTAGTTATAACTACACGTGTTATAGAGGCAGTCGAATTTTTTTATGTATTTTTGTTATGCAGGTCTTAAACATTATTGAATATTTCTTCTACAGCAAAGGAAATTTAAAAATAATGAGAACCTCTTTGGTGCAAATGACTGAAGTTTATTGATGTGTATTTCGTCTCCTTAACACGCAAAAGATATACGATATTTACATTCATGTTCTAGAGTCAGTAGGTTATTTCAAAGCAGGAGACATGAAAAATCCGCAATGCCTTCGCCGAGACTCGAACCACGGACCTCTCGAATACGCGTCGAACGTGCTGACCATTACACCACGAAGGCATGCTAAGAAGGCTAGAGAAATACCTTATAACCTACTAATTTTAATGAACTAGAGTAGATGCACACTAATAATATGCTGCCAATTCCTTCAAATAATTATTTTGAATAAACTTTGGGTCATTGGGTTATTTTTGAAGCAGTAATGACGAAAGATGAGCAACGCCTTCGCCGGAAATCGAACCACGGACCTCCGGAAATGGGCCCAGCGTTCTGACCACTACACTACGAAGGCATGCTAAGAAGGCGGGGAAAATACGTTATATACTTCCAAAGAGCGACTGGAGTTTTTAGGGGACTGAATCGCTAAATCCTGGTGTTGGAGAATCATCATCCACCACCTTTTTTAGTTCGGGCGCCGCTGCGTGTTAAGACGGCGGGAGAAATACGTTATAGATTCCCCCTTTTAAAGGGCGACTGGAATTTTTTGGGGACTGAATCGCTAAATCCTGGATGATTCTCCACCTTTTTTAGTTCGGGCGCCGCTGTAGAGTCATTAGGTTATTTCGAAGCAGGAAATATGAAAAATGAGCATTGCCTTCGCCGGGACTCGAACCACAGACCTTTCGAATACGCGTTGAGCGTGCTGACCACTACACCACGAAGGCATGCTAAGAAGGCGGGAGAAATACCTTATAATGTAAATCGACGATCTACGGGAAACTGCTTTACGAGAGAACCTGGAAAGAAATAATTTGTCTGATAAGTTAAAGAATTTCTAAAAGTGAAATTGCTTAATTCAAAAACTTGCATGTGTAAAAATAGTATTATTAATTCATCTTAAATTTAAATCGATTAGAATTAAAATCTGTTGGGATAAAAAAATCTGTATTTCCTTATTATAACGGCCTCCGACCTAACACAGCTATGATTTAGCCAAAATAGATGTTGTTTGCAAAGAATATTTTTAATTATCTTTAAAATGACCTGTAACCAGCTTCTTCAAGTTGCTCCTTTTTATATTCCTTCTAGCAATCTGAATAGATCATTGATCAATTTTGCAGATGCTGAATAATTTTCTCTATTAGTGTATTAGCATCTGTATTCTAGATTTTAATGACAAAGCACACCCATCTTCCCGGTATTATCCACTGTTGGAAGAATACTGTGCTGCTGATGTTCTTTCGTCGGATAAACGAAGTGTCATCGATTTCAACTACTATTTTATTGGGACTGCCTATCGCCCATTGAATCTTTGTATCAGATGTAGGGAATATTTCCCACACGTAATTGCTCTAATCAACTGCAGAATTTTCCCACATAGTAAGCTGTTTGTCACACCGTTCGATAGACGTCAGCTCTTCTCCACAAGAATACATAAACTTAATACCAGGGGCCAACGATATTCTGAAACCACTAAAACAGCTTCGAACACGAAGGCCCGTCTTTTTACAATTTTTGACATTGCTTTCCAAATAGTTCTGTCGTTAACTTATAGTTTCTTTTTGTGGTATTTTCGCATACTCGTTTGTCAGGTAAAAGACTTCTTTCTTGAAAAAATAATATGGCATCTACTTCTTTAGTTGGTAAATTAAAGGTTGTTAACTTCATATTCACAAAAGAACAAGGAATATTTTTAAAAATACCAATGCTAATTCGAAAATCTTAGTAAAAATAAAACACGATGCTATCTCGGTTTATTGGTGATTCAATCTCTGGAGCCGCTATACTAAAAAAGTACCAAAAAATCAATACCTGTAAAATAAATGAGTTCAAGATGACGTTCAACTTGATTAAACTTTTAGCTGATGAAATAATGTAATAACAAGCATACAGCGCTGCTATATACTAACAGAAAAACGCAACCGAATAGTTAGTCTTACCTACCAGAACTAACAGAACTAACAACTGAAGAAACGATCAGTATGTCTTTCTCATTTAAAATTCTTAACAAATCATATTAATTTAAAACCACTTAGCATTACGGGAGGTAAATTACACCTGACTCTGAATAATTCCGTAACGACAACATTCACCTGACCAAACAGTATGGGGCCCACTACTTGCGAGCTAGAAGCTGAAACCTGGAAATTTGATATGACCTTCATTCCAGACAAACGAACTGATGGGATGGGCGTATTCATGGTTTTCCCCATGTGTAATGTAGATATGAACCAGTTTCCGTTAGAAAGTCCTACGCGAAGGCATCCCTGTCTTTAGGCAGATAGCCCTCGTGTGTTTCGCCGTAATCAAATAAAACAAAACCCAATAGTATAAGAAGGCAGAAAATCGTTGGTAAAAGTTCTTCTAGTTAGCTATAACCCTTCCAATTAGGAGATGCTCATACTTTCTCGTCTTCCGGATAGTTCTTTTAAGTAACCTATCGTTTAAACAATTCTGGATTTGAAAAGAATGCATGAAGTTGTAAAAAAGGTTCCAAATTATTGTTTAATTTTTTTGCACTTCTAACATACTTATTCACAAAGTTTATACAAACTGTTACCTCATAAAATTACTAATATCACTTATAACACTGGAAAATATGAAAATGTCAAGTTTAATTAAACTTTGTTTTTGAAGCTGTGAATGGCAACGACTTGTAAAGCAATTTAAAAGGGAGTCCTAAGTTTTAAAACTTTTATTTTCGAAAACAGGCAAAATGTCATTTATATGCATTTCAAATTGTGAATTTTAAGATTCCAGTAATGCAATCAATAAGATGTTATAAGCCTTATTATATTATGATCAAATTTTATGATTTCCATCCTGCGGACTATTTTGATGTTAGTTTATAGATATTATGAGAAGAATAAGATGATTTGAAGCACTGCAGAGACATTAGGTTACTTTGAAGCAGGAGACATGAAAAATGAGCAATGCCCTTGCCGGGATTCGAACCATAGACCTCTCGAATACTCGCCGAGCGTGCTGGCTACTACACCATGAAGGCATGCTAACAAGGCGGGAGAAATGCTTTATAGCATAACTTGCCTACTTTAGTTATTGTAGGCAAAACGAAAGTAAAAGTTTCATATTTCTCTCACATTATCATACCCAAAACTCTTTAGATGTACTTGAGATCCATAAGATTATGTGAGAGATTTTATACACACTGAGCAATTCAATTTTTCTCAGAAGTACATATATTTGCGTGTGCATTTTAAAACGCAATATATGAGTATTTAAATTAGGTAAGTAATAGATATCAACATCCTTATTAGAGATTTATTTTGCACTCCTTTTTCGTAAAGGATTTTATGTTGCTTATGAGTTATTCAGGTATAACGCAAAATTTTGCTGGAGCAGTATTCAAATCAGATGCAGCATTTGAATTTATCCCTGTTCAAATTCAAAACCCATCGCTCTTGAATACACCTACATAAATTTCGATTCGC